ATATGCGTTTTTGCTGGCTGTAGCAGCGCTATAGCGCTGCACAGCAAAAACGCATAAAAATGTAAATTTCCAGTTCACCAAAAAGTGGATGTATTGCTTGAGCGGTCGTTTGTCAAAAGATAGTATGCAAATGAACTGAATGTTCATTTACATATTTGGATGAGGGCGGTCATACACTGCAAAACGCATTCGTTTCTGATTTTCCGGTAAAATTGAGTATTTCTTATGCACACTTGCAGGCAATTTCACCTCCAAGCAGAATTAAGACCGTATTTGAAAGTAGAATATCCCAGCGAATTTCCAGCCTCGCAGCTTATACAGTAAGTATAATATCCACTTCGCTACAAATATCTTTGAAGTGCCCTAAGTAGTGGCGCAAGTGCAAACTGGTAATCATTTTAGGTATACTATTTCCAATACGGGCGTCAAACAAGATGACAAAATTTTAGCCACTGTTTTCCGGCTAGTTTTCGAATTAGCACGGTATCAAGTTACAAACTCTGACGTGACTGTACGCGCTGCACAAGTATGTATGACAGTTGGATTTCAAAGCTTTAGAGCACATGAACAGAGAATATCCCTGCAAAGTTTCAGCTTTGTACCTTGCCTGTTTTGCGAAGCCGTTTCCCGCTAAAGAAAATTGCATATTTTTTTCGTGGGGTCCGTACGCGGGATCTAGGCGCACATAAGCAGAAATTTTAAAACGGGAGAATGACACACGGGTAAGGAGCATGTACCCCAAATTTCAGCCTCGCAGCTTTTCTGGTTGCTGAGATGGAAGTGGGTGACAAAATGCACTTACTTCCGAACACACACACAGACAACCTCCCGACAATGTGCTTTTTTGCTGGCTGTAACAGCGCTATAGAGCTGTGCATTTAGCACAGCAAAAAAACGTAAAAATGAATACAAAATGGAAAGGAACAAGATTTCACTGAAAGTGGTTAAATACACCGACCTGGCATACCTTCCTTGCCTGGCGCCCCCGCCGGGCCAGCTGGGCCAGCTGGTCCTGGAGCACCCATTGGCCCGGATTCTCCCACCGCACCAGGTTCTCCTGGCAGGCCTGGTGCTCCTGGAGCTCCTTTTTTGCCTGGTTGTCCTTTTCCGAATTTCACTGGCTGTCCTGGTGGGCCTGGTGGGCCCGGTGGTCCTACTGGTCCTAAAAAAAATCCATGATTACATATAATATTTAGCTTAGAAGCTGATGACAAATAATCAGGCAGAATGTCAATTTAAAGAAAAAATTAAAACATAGCCCTAATGTAAACTAGCACGCAACTACACAACCAATAAGAATACCTGGTTCGCCGGGTTCTCCAATAACACCAGGTGGGCCCGGCTTACCCGGGCGGCCATATGCTCCTTGTACAATTTGTCCCGGTGCGCCATCAGGTCCTGGCGGCCCAGGAGGTCCATCAGCGCCTGGCGGACCTGGCGGCCCAGCAGGGCATTTAATACAACCAATTATTTGAGGCTGGCATTGCACAAGTGGCTCTATAGGTGGCGCGTCAAGTCCTGGTGATCCTGGTGCACCATCCTCTGGAATTGAAGTAAAAATTGCCACAATTTCCTGAACAGGGGTAACTCAATGTTATAGCTGTAACTGATGTGATGCAAACAATTTGTTAATTTGATTTTAAATTTCCCTGATTTTTGTGACTCATGAGAATGATCCGTAAATTGGTATCCTTGACTTAAGAATGACTGTGAATACCTCCGTCAATTCCAGGTTCCCCAGGCTGGCCTGGTGGCGACGGCAGGCATGATGGCATCGCCTCGCAGTGACACCATTCCGGTAACCCTGCGAAACGAGGGTCCGTTGCACGTTTTAGCCGAAGAAGAAGTGGATTTGGAGGTGGCCGACTGGTTGGTGTCACAAGCGTTTGTACTTCCATTAATTCCAACCATGCTTCGTCCATTTGTATCTGTAACAAGATGCGGTTGTGTAAATTTAGGCGTGTCAGAATTTTCAAGATCGAAAGCGGAACTTCACCAGAC